GCCGGTATAGCCTGGCAACGCTGGGAAGTTGTCCGTAGGGCAGCGGAGCGCCAGCCCGACCAGTATCCGAGCACCCCACTCCGAGGGCGTGCAGTTGTCACCGGTCGGATACTGAGGAAGAAGGAAGGCAAGAAGACCACCGAGGCCAATGGGGGCCTGGAACGGACAGCTGAAGGAGCTTGCCTTTAAGGAAGCCTGAAGATCGAGGGATAGGTGAGCGTCGTGCTTTGTACATATGCTTTGTACATATTGCGTCATTGCCATATTTGATATGCTTTATTCATGATAATCACTTTACATTCTTGTGTTACTCCTTGACTCTGTCCCACATGTCTATCCTCAGAGCGTAGTTCCTCATTTAGCATTTCGTAGTTATAGTATATTTCATAGTTGGCATAATAAACCAGTGTTCCTTGCTTTTGTACTTGTCTCGGGGAAGTAAGTAAGGTAGGGCACTCTGGTTGGTCGCAACGGGAGAAGTAGATTATGTCGCCGCGCTCAGTCAGCTGGTCTCTGTGTCGGGGGCAGGGATCCCGTCGCGAGGTACTAGGCTGAGGTCGCTCGGCAAGGCGATGGCCTTGAGCCGACACCCCTTGGTCCTCGGCGGTTGGTCCGCCCTCCTGTCTCGGGGCGCAGGTAGGGCGTGGAGGTCCGGTGAGCGAGGAGGTTTGAGGTGCTCGTACCGCCGATGCGGATCGCGCTCCGAAGGGTGGCCATCAACTCGCGACAGAAATCCTACGAGAGCCTTGACTTCGGGACCCCGCCCTAGGAACCAACTTTAGGTATCGTGGCGCGCACCTACATTTCAGGATTCCTCAAAGGCACCGTGCACGTTTAAAATAGTTTGCGGGATTTTTCCCTTGGATAAACTTGGGACCATCAAGGATAATCTAAGGAGGGACGCTTCCAAGCCGAAAAACGGGTAAGAAGGGCGTAATAAAGTCTCAATCGGCTCATTCGACGTGCACAAACAAGGCGGACGACTTCTTGAGCGTAATGAGAGCCGTACAGGTTGCGTCATTTGCAACGGGATCCACACCTTGCACGCAGGCAGCTTACTGTAGCCAGCTGTACGCAATAACTGCACATATGAAGGACTCGTCCAAGTACCCCTTCCATGCAACTTCTGTCACCTCGTCTAAAACCTAATTTCACTTCTTTAAAGCCTTATATTTCTTTGAGTACGCCAACTTCCCCCTTTTTTTGACCCTCTTGCACTATCTAAACTATATCCTCCACTATTTGTCTGAAACTAAATACCCCAAAAGTCTCGTGAAATTTGCTTTTGATATACTTATCGGTTATACCGCAGCTTTAAAGCTCAACTACACATTGTCATTTTACTGTCATTTTACCATGGGTCTTGTTGTGCCTAAGTAGGAAGATGAGGGGGAGATGATCAAAAGATAAGCCTGTATTGTTACTACATATGTATTGTTGCCCTGAAAAATTGTAGCGCACTTATAGTAGCGAAAAGTTCAGTGTGGGTTGGACTCCATTTTGTTGGAAGTCGGAAATTGCTTTACTATTATAAATAAACACACAACGAACAACTGGTGGTTTTCCTGTCTGGGCGGAACCAATCGTGTTCTGGCTTGCACCAGTATTCAGGAAGAATTCTTTGTCTCGAGGGAACGTTAAACAAGGCTCAGTCTTTGAAGAAGTCTAGAGACGCTGACAAGCTTTCCCCAGCTTCACCCCCCAGGTAAATTTCGCTTTATCTTCAGAGGGGCATGAAGAGGGAAAGCTACTGGGGCAAAACTTACGATATATTTCCTTAAAAAATCGGCCATACCTCCGAAAACTTAACCGCCTTGATAAAGGTCGGAGTTGGGAAGTCCTGCATCGCATGGATGTTCCTGCCAGCAGCCTTTTACACTGAACCTGAAGTCCCATGAACTAAGTAATTAATGCGCAACAGGCGACTTCGATGAGCTTGCTTGCCTCCGGCCTTGATGTTGAAAAGACAAACACCATGAAAAACTTTGCGCGAGCAAAGTTGATGGCTATGGAAGACTGGGCCAAGAAGAAGGTCCAGATAGGCTAAATAAACGCTTAGCCTCAAGGTCTGCAAGAATGCCAGACAATTCTCCGGAGAAATACGTTACGGCACTTTCAAGATGATGGGGAAGGTAGACTAATTGGAAAACAATGTGGCCCGCCCACATTTCTTCTGACTTTCTGGGAAGAGCAAGAGTTGCATATCTCTCAAAGTTAAGTCCAAAGCGGTGTAGAATCAGTGGCCAGCGGCTTCGGTTGATATGTCCTCAAAGCGCGGTAAAGAGTAGTGATCAGTGATAGTGGCGACATCCAGGGAGCGAAAGTCTAGACATAATGTGAGGAGCCGTTCACTTCTTTCACAAGGGCTGTGAGAGGTAGTCCTCGATGGTATGCCAGCTCGTAGGACCTTATTGATATGTTTATCAAGGTCTTTTTGTAACTTCACCGGGATTCGAGGGAGCTGAAAGCGGACAGAGGAAGTCACCGTGGTGGTTTTGATCTTAATTCATGAGTCCCAATAGCACCCTAAGTTGTGCGAATTGTTGGAAATTTTGTCTCGGAATTTATACAGTAGTGTGGCCATTTTCTACGCTGCCTCGGGTCCACGAGACGGCTCATCATTACTGTCGGAGGCTCAACGTAAAAAGTCAGGCGGGTAGCGGAAGAACTGTGGTCCCTGCAAGGCAGATATCAATCGGCTCCTTGAGGCGTTTGGTTCGATGTAATCCAAGAGCATAGTATCCTTACAAGATTAATGACCGTTCTTCTGGTGTACAAGCCGATTCTGTGAAAT